TTGAGCACAAGGATCTTCCAGCGGGCCTTTAGGGTTTAGGGTCTATAGGGTTTAGGGGGGAGGGGGCAAGCGGTTCTTCAGCTCGGTTCTTCTATACGAGCTTGCAGGTTTTAGAAGATACGGGGCCTTATCAAAGTTGGTAAGGTTGGTTTAGGGTTTAGGGTTTAGGGTTTAGGGTTTAGGGTTTAGGGTTTAGGGTTTAGGGTTTAGGGTTAAAGGTTACGACAGATTCTTCTTAACCTTAGAGAATCCTTTGTGCCCCTTACTTTCTGAAAGCCCGACGAGTCAGAAATTGCTGGGGCTGGGGTTTACATTTGCTGCTGGCTTCGGGCTGGCATTCGGTTTAGGGTTTAGGGTTTAGGGTTTCGGGTTTAGGGCTTCTTTTCCTGCTGCCGCTGGAGTCGTGGTGATGGTAATGGTGGTGGTGGCAGTGGTGGCGGGGGCGGCCGTGCCAGGGAGTGGCGCTGTTGGTGTTGTTGTTGTTGTTGTTGCTGATGCTGCTGTTTCTGCTGCCGTTGTCGTTGTCGCCGTCATTGTTGCTGTTGCTGTGTATGGTGTTGACTCGTTGTCATGACAGTCAAGATGAGAGTTCAGCTGCTCATGATGCTGGGAGTGCTCATGATGCTGCTGATGACGATGATTTGACATATGATGGCGACGATATGTCAGTAGCCCGCTCCAACCGCCAGAACATGAGCTGCTGCAGCACGGTTTACAAATAAGTTCCCTTGCAAAACCTTCTTCACCCTACACCCTAGATTCCCCGAACTATACCTAAAGCCCTCAGCCCTTTTTTCTCCAAGAAGCTCCAACCAAAATTAGGGGCATGACATGCCCAGGACCGTGGGACGCCCCAGTCCAGTCGCCCACCCTCTTCTGGTGCTCATGAGGAGCGCGGGTTTTGGGTTTACGGGTTGCAGGATTCATGAGTTTAGGTGCGCAGGTGTGCGGAAGCTTAGCTAGGGTTTCAAAGCTTCGGAACCCTGCCTGATGCAGGGCCCCTATTACGACGCTACGAAGTACTTGGGCTCTTAATTCTGCGTTAAACTCCGGATACCAATCCAGGCAGCACGTCGTGAACCCACACGGTTGAAGCATTGCCTGAACCTGTGCTCCCTGAATGCAAAACACATGCATTGGGAACGTCGGGGTCGAGATGTTGCGGGGTTGCGGCATGTAGTCGGACGAGCTTTTGGAATTTGGGACGTTGCTGAGTTTGATGCGCCGCAGCTTTAGAGATCAATTGAGACCGAGGCCTGTAAATAACCAGCCAGCTCTGCGCATATTATCAGCACAAGGACCCTCAACCCTAAACCCTAAACCCTAAACCCTAAACCCTAAACCTTGACCCGAAACCCCTTAAGCCCAACCCTGCCCTTCTGGGGTCTCGGACAGTGGTGCCTTGATGGGCGTCAACCTTGTGGGCTTTCTCCTGGAGCCCGACGCACCCCCCAAGCGGTACACTGCGAGCTGAAAGCCTTAAGTTCATTCTGACTAGGCTAGAACCTAGACCGTCCGAAGCCTGATATCAATCGGCAAAACTCTGCACATTGGATTGAGACGTTTTGGTATCTCTGCCCGAGTTTAGGTTGTGAAGAGCACACATGTACAAGACATTTTCAGTATGTCTCGTGGAGCATTACGACAACCGCATCTCCTCCTCGACGTGCATGGCTGGACATGACGCAGATTAGGGCCTTCTTGGGAGTCCATAGCAATGAGCCACAAAGTCATCTGCTTCGCTGTCGTTTGCTACGTTCCCGCGGCGGTTTCTGTCGTGGTTGAAGGCCTCGGCCATGTTTACATGTACCAGCAGGAGCTGCAACTCCTTGAGAAGTACTTGCACGCTGCACGTACCTTCTTCGAGTTTGGCATGGGGGCGTCAACGATGCATGTGGCCAGCGAGTTCCAGCAGCTAGAAAAGATAGTCTCTGTCGACATGGACAAGCGGTGGGTGAATCGAGTGCGAAAACACGCCTTTCTGAGCAATGGCTCACTTTCTCCTCGGAGGATCAAGCTGCTCCACGTCTACATTGGCCGCACCGTTGGGTATGGGTTTCCCTTGCAAAACATGAGCCGCTGTCGCTATAGAATTCGCCTGTGCGACAGGGGTGCAAGTCCTGAGTGTGCGGTAAAGACTCGTTGTTACCATGGCCTAATCGGGAGGCGCAGCTGGTGGCCAAGCTTCAGCCAAGCAGTACTGGATGCTGCAGCACGCTACAGACATCGCTGGGACGTGGTTCTGGTCGACTCGAGATTTCGGACAGCTTGTGCGCTAAAGAGTCTCATGGCCATCAGCGCAGAAGACATCCACAGATCTGTGGTCATGGTCCATGACTACTGGGTGCGACGGCCGCTTTACAGTGCAATAGAGCGTTTCGCCGACATCGATGCTGCTCAGATGCTCTTGCATGTCGTTTCTTTGTCATGAGTTTTTCTTAAGTTAACAACTAGTCATCGGGGCACCAAGACTACCGTCAGTCTCCATGTAGTCCGCTGATGAAACCTTATCCTCGGTAGATAGTCGGTTCACCAGAAACAGGAACCACAATGGACACGATAGTGACTAATATAGGGGCCTTCACACCTAGAAATGGGTTTGGGGGTATATTATACCACAACTATAACGAGGAACCCTATTCTAATTATTTAGGCCCCTACATTAGGCATTGTTTTTCAAGGCCCGGGGGTTTCTGTCAATTCTGGCCCGCAAGACTCGAGGAAACAGCGGGCAGCCTCGTTGTTTTTCGGAAAAGGCAGGACGTGGATCCAGCGGCGCTGCAGCAGGCGATTCAAGCATCCGAGTACGATCCCATCTGATACAAAAGGCTGACTGACTGAGCGCCTTCAGATGGGGCTTGCGGCGTTTATCCTTGAGGTTATCGTTCTTAGGGGCTAGGTTTCTTTGTTCAACAGAGACCCACCGTGCCCCCTGCAACCCCGCACATAGTGTAAGGCCTGCGCCGTAACTGTAATTAGGGGGTTCAGGGAGTTGCGAGTTTTAGCATTTCAAGACGTCTGAACAGGAAAAACAGCCCGAAGCCAAAGGCGTTAAGTCCCCTGCTATGATTTCAGCAGCATCTAGCCCAAAAGAACTGGCCACATCCCGACATCCTCAGCCAAGCTTGTGTGACTACAGGACCGTTTTTGGATGGACCTAAGATTTGTCAGAAACAAAGTGCTGTCGGGCTCGCTCTTACATGTCATGTACTTTCGGAATTCGACATACAACAACACGTCATGGTGTAAGGCAAAAGGCAGAAGCCGTCCTGAACCCTGAGCTGTCATGGCCCAATAGGATGGCATGGTGTAATGTTTTGGGACTCTGGGAGGCTTCAGGCATCGTTACAGTTGCTTAGGAAACATTGGGATGGAAAGCAATCCTAAGCTCTATGATAAGAGCCAGGGTTTAGGGTTTAGGGTTTAGGGTTTAGGGTTGATATTCCCCAGAAGTGTTACGCATCCCCTGAGTCCTGCAGAGAGGGTGCATCGTCAAGTACCGTGCAGAACGACCGCACAGAAATCCTTCTGGCAGGAGCTCTTAGCCACCAACCGCAGCGCGATGGAACGCTTCCTTCCCAATGGCATTCCGCATGTGTTGGCCCCGGAGGGGAATGAGAATCATTGGCGGTTCGAGCTGTTTCGGTAGTATTGGATACTGACTGTATAACGCCCTTACCGTTGTTTCGCTTCGGTGTGGGCAGTACCCAAGGCGCGTACGGCGTCTTTAGCTTCAGGATCAGGGCTTCGGGAGGGTGCCGAGCTCAGGGTTTTGAGTTTGACGTTTAGGGCTAAGGGTTCAGGGCTTAGGGTTCAGGGATTGAAGGTTGAGGTTTAGGGATTGGGCTTGAGGGTTGAGGGTTTAGGATTTCGTGCCCCCCCCGTCCTACCGGCCAAGATCAGCGTCGGTTGCATCCCGCCCTGACCCCCATCGAGGGAATTCGAAAGAGACTTGCCCTGTGTTCCTGTTGATATAGTAATTAGTAATTGTATAATGGGCGCCAAACCCCCATTCTAATTATTAAGGCCCCGATGTACATTACCAAGGTTACCAGCGACCTTGTTCTAAACCCCAGAACCCTTACCCCCGAAACCGCTTAAACTTAGGGTTTAGGGTTTAGGGTTTCAAAAAGGAGTGTTGCAATGGGTTCCATTAACCTAGTGACCCCGACGACGTATCATATAATTACCCTTACTCTGCCCCCCCAGGCCACAAAGCTCTTACCGCAAGGAGACGTCTTTTCAACGCATCTGGGGTCGTCCAGAGCTCCCGAGATACACGCACGAGGCATCTGTAGGGGGAGGGGTTTAGGGTCTTGTGAAGGTTTTGCAGTTCGGGATTAAGGAACCTCTGATGCTGACTGATGCTTCAAAGCCTCAAGTCGAGACAATCGCCGTTTGACATCAGGAAAACCCAGTGGGTGTGTGCAGTTTGTCGGGCTAGGGTCGCCCTTTGGGGATCGGGATTGCGAGCGGGTAGACGGCCCCACGGATCAAGATTTCCTACCGAGGGCTTGAGGTCGATAAGCTAAGCTGATGGTTGATGTCTTCAAAGAGCCTAGTAATATAGGGGCCTTAATAATTAGAATCGGGTTTTGGGGTATATCATACTATAAATATAAATAAGGAACCCCGAAGCCCTGTTCTAATGATTAAGGCCCCTAAACCCTCAACCCTTATGATAGCCCTTATAGAACCCTTTAAGGAGCCCTTTAAAGGAACCCAAGAAACCCTATTCTTATAAGGGCTTCTATAATAAGGGTTTAGGGTATGGGCCTTTAAGGGTTTAGGGTATGGGCCTTAATAATTATAATGGGGTTTTGGGGTTCATTATAGTATATCTTTAAGAGGGAACCCCCAAAATAATACACGTAAGAATTGAGGCTCCGATATTGGACCCTAAACCCTCAACCCTGAGCCCTAGACCCTAAACCTAAGACCAAATTCCTGCAGCCTCGACCCTAACCTCTCTGGTTGGAGCCCCATCGATACCAGGCGGTTGTAATTCAGAGCTGTGTCACATGAAAGTACCAAGTCCCCTTCCTCTCCACGTGTGGCAACTTCAGTGTGAGATCAGTTTCTGATTTATTAGAGTTTATCCTAGATTGGTGTTCCGTTTTGTGTTCATGATACCCTAAACCCTAAACGTTTTTTTCACCCACAACCTGCAATCCTAAATCTAAATCCTAAATCCTAAGCCTTACCAACCCACGATCTCAATTTAAAGGCCTGAGCTGGAATGACCCGCAACTTAAAAATCCTGGGCCCTAAACTGTAGTAACCCGCAACCTACAATCCTGAACCCCCTTTGATGATCCAAAGTGATAAATCTTACACCCCCCCAAACCTCAATAGCCATCAACCAAAATTAATAGCTCTGCACCCTAAGCCTTAATAACACCGAACCCTATACCTTCACATCAATACCGTTGAAACCTTCGTATCATATCCCTAAGCCCTCAGCCTAAGCCTTGCGAAAGCCCTAAACCCTAAACCCTAAACCCTAAACCCTAAACCCTAAACCCTAGACACTAAACCCTAAATCCTAAACCCATAACCCCGTGGGCAAGCCCGGATGCAGGTCAGCAAACATGCCCCCCTGGTCTGCACGAGCCTGCCTGGCACATTGGGAGCTGACGGCCCGAAGAGAGGGGGCTCCTTAAGGGGCTCTGCAATCGGTGTCATGGGATTTCGTAGGGGTGAATTAGTTTCTATACCCCTAAACCCAAAACCCTAAACCGTTTATGGGGCTACGAGGGTTTTACTTTGAGGGGCTTAAGGGCTTCAGATTGAGGGTTTAGGGTTTTGCGCCGCAAATCCTACCGCCGCGGCTCTTGCAGCAGGTTCGAAAACCCCTTCAAACGCAAGAATCTTTGGGCTTGAGGGTTTGGGGTTTGGGGTTTAGGGTTTGGGGTTTAGAGTTTGTGGTTTGGGGTTTGTGGTTTAGGGTGTAGGGTTTAGGGTTCTGCGACTCTTAATTAGGACCGGCCAGCAAGGGCTGGGTTATGCCCTAGCCGCCTAGCCCGCGGGCAGAATTCTCAGACATTATGCTCATGCATTCCTTGCCGAATAGCCCCGCCGTCAATACACTTTCGTATCATACTGTTGATGGACAAAATTCTGCATAACCCAAATATAGTATGGTACCATAAATCCCATAGTCTAGGTATATAAAGTCATGCAGGATTTTGTCCATCAACCGTATCCCCCGAAACGGCATTTTAACGACCAAGGGCCACCTCCTGGGGGAATCCCAGCGCCAATCGTCCTCATCCCACGCGGCAGCTGCCGGATTCCGCTTTGAGTTCTGACCCCAAGGGCGCCGTTCCGGCCAGTCGGTCCCCAGAGACTCCAATATCCCTTAACTAAGGAATATACTTTAAAGCCTTAAATCATCATAGCATCCCTGGCATGAAGTAAGGTGTATTCCTTAATGAAGGGATCTTGGAGTCTCTGGGTCTGATGATGTTCCAAGCGAGTTTTGCCTCTCACGTCCGAAAATAAACTCCGAGAGCTGCAGAACGGCATGCCCCTCAATTCCCGGCTGAGGGTTTAGGGTTTAGGGTTTAGGGGTTTGGGTGCAGGGTTTGGGGTTTAGGGTTTAGGGTCTAGGTTTTGGGGTTTGGGGTCAACCGACCCGAAGCCTGCAAAATCCACAGCGAACACAGTGTAAACATAACCTAAGGGCCGTTTGCGGCTCTGGCCTTCACATCTCAGCCCCCCTGGGCAGTTCTGTTAATCAGGTTTCGCCTTGCAGGTCACAAAAATACTACGGCACCCTTATAAAAAAGGATCCTAAAAGGGACCCTAATTGGCCCTACTTTGCAGAACTATCCCCTTAACAACTCTGCCCGGGACCCCTAAGTTCTAAGTTCTAAATCTAACCTTAAACTCAAAACCCCTAAACCCCTAAACCCTTAACCCCCAAACCCTAAACCCCGAAACCCCTAAACCCCTAAACCCTAAACCCCTAAACCCCTAAACCCTAAACCCCGAAACCCTAAACCCTACACCGAAGACCCGAATCCTGGTAAACCGCAGACTCCCTGGCTTGGAGATGCAGATTTCCGCAAAGTCTGGATCAGAGTTGACCGTGTTGAAGTCTAGGGGCTTAGGATTTAGGGTCAGGGTTTTTAGGATTCAGGGTTATTCGGTTGTTTTTATGTCATGTCGGGGGTGGAAGCTGTAGACCCGGATGTCTCAAGATGTCTAAACGGTTCATTCTGAGTTTGGGTGTTCCACAGCATTTCGCGCCAGGCGCTGGCATCGTGAGGCGATGACAATTGCATTTTGAAGAAACTGGTAGTGCTTCGCAGCAGGTTTAACGGTTTAGGCTGATGAAATAGAGAGTAGTAGTTTGAAATCAGTATGCCGCAGGTCATTGCATCTTCGCTCCAGAAAAGGGGTTTGTGGCCATCCTGCTTGTTACTTCTGAACCTTGGTCGGGTTTTGCGTTGTCACTTTGCTTGATGAGACAAGGCTGGGTTGTAACAATTCATGGTGTTCATTGAATTGATTTTCTCTAGTGTTTTTCATCGTTAGGGTTTAGGGTTTAGGGTTAAGGGTTCAGGGATGATGGTCCAGGCACTACGAGCAAAAGAATTGCCATCATGCTGGATGCTTGTATTTGCAAGATTTTCCCGCATATTGTGTTTTCATGCTCAGAAGAACAGGGTTACACGCGTGTATGTGACTCAAGTTATTGTAGTTTTTCCGATAGCATCATTCGGTTGGACAGCATTTAGACGTGCCTGATTATGGTGTTATCTACAGGTCGTGCCGGTGATTCTTTCTTGCGACAGAAAGAATCACCAGCACGACCAGTAGATAACACCACAATCAGGCACGTCTAGATGCCGTCAAACCGAATGAAGCAATCGGAAAATACAATCCTTTGTCAGGTCAGCATGTTTATTTGTTTCGATGCTATCACGCGCATTGTTGCCATATCCTCAGTGTGCATTATTGTCGGTACCGATTTGATTTCTTTGCTTCAATGCTGGCCATTATTGTTACCATCTGTTCCCCTTTTTTCGTGTTGCTTGCCCGGTTGCCGCACCTGTCGCACGGTCACAGTCACTGTCGCTGTCGTCGTTCGTGTTGCTGTTCTGATTGTGGTGGCTGTCATTGATGTCGTCACTCATGAAAATTGGGGGTACGTTATTTTGGGGTCCTTATAATAAGAAACCGATTATTTAGGGTACTATATTAGTGTCCCCTATTTTCGGAAACTCCCATGTCGTCGGTGGTTGTTCTCATTGGCTGGTTGTGAAGGTTGTTGACATCAAGGCGGATTTGCTCTGAGGATGGTAACTGTGATGATGTTGGCGATGATACGTGCTGTTCATGGTGGTGGAGCTAGTCGGAGTAGCGGTCTTGAAGGGATGGTAGTTGTGGCCGTCGTCGCTGTTGCTGCTGTTGCTTCTTCTGCTGCTGCTTGCTGTTGCTCTTGAGGTTTGATGCGTATCCTCTTGATGAAACGCGAAGTAGCTCAGCACCGCGACCAGCGCCATAAGTACCACCCGAACCACCAGCACCACCAGCACCACCAGCACCACCAGCACTACCAGCACCAGCAGCACCAGCAGCAACAACAGCAGCAACAGCAGCAACAGTGTAACGTACAAAAGCTGCTGACATTGACGCTGCGATCAACGGGTCATCATGTGTGTCAGTGTTAGTATTACTCTGAGTCGTCATGATCATGTCGTCCCTGTTTTTGCAAAGAAATAGTTCAAGTCATGTGATGACTCGTAAGCTCCGAAGCCTTAAACCCCAGTGAATAGCTAGCATGTAGCATCTCTCTCCGATGGCGACGGGCCTGCAAACGCAGCACCGAACTCGTCGGGAACAGATTTCTGACGCCAGCTGATGCGGATCTAAAACTTGAAGCCGGACCGGCCCACAGCGGCTGGACAGTTGGAAGTCCCTACAGAGCATGAATAACTACAAATATCATAAACCCTTAACCCTAAACCCTGGACCCTAAATCCTGCAGGCTCCTGAAAATATTTAGTTGCACGGTCCCTATTTTGCCACGCTTCTTGCTTCCACATTCTCATGGGGGAGCTTCTGTTTTTCAGTATAGTTCAGCATTGGTTTTGCTGCAGTTTCGTTTGTATGAACGGTATACAACAGCAACTCCCTAAACCCTAAACCCTAAACCCTAAACCTTAAGTAAGAGAATCCCAAGTGACATGAAGGATGGCCGTGTACCGACATGCCTTCCTCGCGGCTGTTTCAGCCGCAAATAGCTCCCAAGCGGAATGAAGGATTAGGGTTTAGGGTTTAGGGTTTAGGGTTTCGCAGTATATACTGGAGCAGATCCACATCATCTGGAGGTTTCACCCCGCTGTCTCTCTAAAGAGCTTGACTCAGGAAAACGACACATTGCCTTTTGCATCTTTACGTCCGCATACGGGATGAAGGGTCGTTAGTGCTCAGGGTCAGAGCACTTAGAGTCTGGTCTAGCTTTCTCATATTTTGCATCTGGGTTCTTGAGGAATCATGCTATGCTGGTGATAATGAGGCGTCATTCTAGCGTTACACCGAGGTCAGCTAGGGGCAAAGATTGGGATGTCTACTGACCGCGTACTCGCTGAGAGGGTAGAGTGTGCCGAGCTACGCAAACAGTAGTAACATGAGTGCTGAGTTTGTTCCCAAATATTGCAAGGTCGACCGCTTTTTCTATGCTCCATGCCTGCAGCTCTCAACATCAGACTCTCCAAGTACGGTTTACTGTTTAGGGTTTCCAGTTTTAGGGTTGGAAGATAGGGGGACCGCAAGCCCTCAAGCCTGAATCCCACAGCAGAGGTCATGCCAGCCCTACTGCGCCAGACGAATTCATGTCGCACTACTTGGAGAAGCAGGCTCGGGATTAGGGTTTAGGGTTTAGGGTTTAGGGCTTGTTGGTGGCCTACGGGAGGAAAGTTCATGGGTTGTCTTCCCCAGAGAGGCAACCATCCATTAACGACATATGTCCGGCTGACAACACCATTTAAATTTCCTAGCATATTTTGTAGTTACATACAGAATATTAAACCAACAGTAACACATAAACATACTTGTATGCAAACTCAGATAGAGTTTGCAAATATGTGTTGACTACGTAACTGACTCATTGGCTAAACGATCACTTAATAATGTAGGAATCGCTTGCATCATGGATTTTGGAGTCTTTGGTCTGGCCAGTGATAGGTTCTGTTTGAACATGATCTGCTGATTCAGGTCACAAGACAGTCCTTATGAACTCGCATTACGGGCACTTTGTGTAGACCGATCGATTCATGTCCTTCTGAATGATTAGCAAAGGCGCCCCTTCACTCCAAAGGCGTAATATAGAAGCCTGAATAATTTACCATCTTATTCCTTAGGGTTCTTGATTCCTGTTTTCATAAACGAAGCCAAACTAATTTACCATCTTATTCCATAAGGTTCTTGATTGCTAATTTCCATCAAGGATCCCAAAGCCCTGTTGCTCGATTCACGGCCTTCGGCCCAGCAGCGCGTGCCCGCTCGTCGACGCTCTTAGTTCAATGCATCACCGTTTTGTGCCGGAATTGCTAACCTCGAAGCCTAGATGGCAAAAAAAGCAGAGGCCTTTACCCAGCCAGTGCTACAACATGAACCCGAACTTCTGGAAGATTTCTAGAGCCTATTTACGCCAGACATTGAGAGACCCTGTATTCAATCTCACAAAATCTATACAAAGCCTATAGTTGCACTGTGTGAGGCCTTCTGTAGAACGGGTAAACTCAGTCGCTCGAGGCTGCCATTGAGAGCCTACTTCACAGCAACCACTGGCTGCGTCCTTGGAGTAGTGAGTAGATAAGGGTTGAGGGGTTCTTTTTGGTGGTATCGTGATATAGGGGCCATGATGACTATAAGGGGTTGCTGTTACTAGTTATTCAGCCCCCTACATTCAACAGTTCCGCATGGTGTTTGAGGCATTCGGACGTGTAGGTTTCGGAGATGAAGGTCCTCAAACCCAAACGCCCAGACAGCCCAGAGACTCCAATATCCCTTAATTAAGGAATATATCTTAAATTATAGTAGGATCCCTAATATGATTTAAGGTATCTTCCTTAATTAAGGGATATTGCACAGACCCTGACACTGCGCCGGTGTTCGCGCAGTTTTGGTTTAAGGGTGTCGGGTGCAGATTTCGAGCTGCAGCGCCTGGAGCTTCAGGGTTCTGGGGCAGGAGCCCTGATTAGATTGGGTTTAGGATTTAGGGTTTAGGGTTTTAGGGTTTAGGGTTTAGGGTTTTAGGGTTTAGGGTTTAGGGTTGAGGCTTTCGGGCTGAGGTTTTGCGTCAGGAGGGTGTTGGTCGGTGAACTCTGAACTCTGCGGCGTGCATTTTTCACACTAGAGCCCTCAACTCAAAATTCCGAACCGTGGGTGCAGGGCAAAAGCCAGGTCAAGACCGCAATGTTTTGGCGCTTTCGTCTTTGATGGCCTAGGTTACAAGTCTTCAGCAGTTAACTTGCTGTTAAATTGATTGGGTAGAGTATACCTTAAGAACCTAAAACCCACTTTTT